CATACTATAAATAGAGTTGCACATTGAATTGCTCGTTACAGCCTGCGTGATCAGGGCTTCCATTTTGAATCGAGGATCGGCCAACGTGGCTTATGAGTTGTGTCCATGATGGAGCTCCGCTTATGGTGGTTGAGTCATTACTGTTAGCTGTAATGCATCGGTGGGTTTAATGTTTTGTAAGGGTTTCTTTATTATTGGGCATGTACGGATCTTGTTTTACTTCGCATGTGGTTTTTTCTAAGTAGTTCTCGAGAATATTGGCTAAAGAGACCCTCTTCATATGTGTTTATCTTAAACATTGTTCTTAGTCATTGGATTCTTTGAGTCGGTTTCTTATAATTCAGTAAGACTTGTACTATGCATGGACAAGGTTAGGATAAAAAGTGCAAGGACAGTCTCAGGCCATTACCTGAGTTAGGCTAAGACAGTTGTGTAGGTGCTTAATGGAGATTAAGCTCACAGAGCGCAATCAACTTAGAGTTATTGTATGGAGAATTACATGTCAACCAATTCTAAATTGCAATCATGCAGATTAATCCTTTGATCTAATACATCATGGTTGTCTTGTTACATGTATGCCCTAGGGCTATTAAGGTGCTACGTCTGGTCATCCTTTTATCCAAAGTGGCATGTGAATGTATAACAAGGGATCTCTAGCTTTTTATAAATGAAAGTAGAATACTCTACGACATGAACAAGGAATCCTCAATTGGGGTACTAAGCATGATCAAGATAAATTCTTGATAGCTGAACAATAGAATCATGTATATGTAAAAGGTTCACATTTGGAGTTGACATAGACTATCCATGCCCCAACAATGTGATTGAGAGTATTGTGTAAAGAGGGCATGTACTACATCGTAAGTTGCAATTGAATAGTTTTCCTTATATTATACATCGACTTGGGGACTATGATGTAGAGCTAGGTGTCACTCATAGTTAGTGAAGCCTTGAAAAGTCAATAATGAATTGTTCACAATAAGGTGGATTAAAAGCTTGTTTTCAATATGTCAAAATGGTCAAAGAGTTTGAATCGTCACACGGCCTCGTTGATTAGAACTTAATGATCGTAGACCCGATTCTCTTGTATGAGATGATTACAAAGTATTGGAATGACTAATATGATTAATCAAAAGGAGGAAATAATTAATTAAATTATTTAATTAATTATCATAGCGGTTTAATTTCCAAATTGGGCTTCGAAATTATTTCAGGTTGATCTAGGCTCAGCGGACTTGATCCCACTTAACCACATTAAGTCATTTGGTGACTTATATTGAGAGAAAACCCAAAAGGTCCAAGAAACCCTATGGCCAGTTTTGGGTAGGGTGAGTGGGATTTGGATTTTTATTTTTTACTTTAAAATTCAAAGGAAAACTTTCCAAGAAGCCAACTCTTTCCATTTCTCAACAGACTCAACATTGACTCATCTATTGCATGCAAAGCTCTCTATCGCTCTCTCTCTTGCATGAATGTCTCTAAGAGAAAGAAAAAGGAGAAAGAGAGGTAACCAAAAGGAAGAAGAAGAGTACTTCTCTCTTTGTATTCATCCTAAAAAGTGAACTAAGGTAGTGAAGTTTAAGGAGAGAAACCAAACACTCCACCACCACCACATGTTATAAGTATGCCCTGAAAGCCACTCGTTAAATGTAAATCAATAAATGAATTCAAGGAATGTAAATAACGTAAGAGACAAGTAATCTAAGGTAGTTAGATAGATACCTCGAAAGGATTAGCGTCTTAGGAAGTACCTCAGTCGAATCAATGGCTCAAAGACTAAATAATTGTGATAAGTTGAGACATTTCTCTTATGTTTGTTCCTAAAAGTTTCTGGTCATAGGATTGTCAATTGGGCAAACAATCCGCTAAGGCTAGTATGTGTTATGTCAACTCAATCGTGAGTATGACTTGTCTCAAGTCATCAGTGTTAGACACTAAGACAAATGCATAGGTGATCAAAAGGTTATTGAGTTCACTAAACAATGATCAACAACGAGTTCTTATACACATGTTATGAAAAAACTCGTAAGTTGCAATAATGTAAAGTAGTCATTTGACCTGAGACACCACAGTTGCTTTGTGGCTACGCCTTCATGCTTCTAGCATTGTTGGGATCATTACAATAAGGGATCTCTAGCCTTCAATCATGGAAGGAGAATATAATGTAACATGATTCGGGAGTCTTTGGTCAAAGCACATGAATATGATTTAGGAAGAATGCTCCAGATCACATTTACAAGAATCATATGGATAGTAATCACATTGGAGACATGAATGACTATCAACTGAAACCATGCAATAAAGAGTATTGAATTAGACAAGGACCGTATTGCATAGCAATTGTAATTGAATAGGTTTTACACCACTTTTACTTAGCTTGAGTAGTCATGACATACTGCTAAGTGTTACTCATGGCTTGTGGCAGCTTTTATAGGGAGATAGAAGTAAATTATTCACAATCGATTGGTAAGAGTTACAATCGCCCATTGTCTCGCTAATTAGAACCTAATAGATCATACATCATGTAAAGATATTTAAGAAATATAACTTAAATGGATAAGCATAATTAAACATTTTAATTGAGTATGGTTGAGATTAATTAACTTGTTAATTAATCAAACGAATAAATTCAAAGTGAGTTTTAAATTAGTTTCGGGTTTCATGACCCAATGTGCCTTGGTCCATAAAGCCCAATAAGTTTTAAGTTGCATGACAACTTAAAACAAAATGAACAAGCCCAATGAAAAAGGGTGGACGGCTATACATGAGGGTTAGTTTTTCACTTAAGCTACTCAAATTAGTAAACCCTAGAAGCTAGAAGGACGACATAGAAGAGAGGTGGAGACCAAAAAGGAACTTAGACTCCCTTGTATTGATGTGTAAACAACAATACTATATATATATATATATATATATATATAGGGTTAGGTCAATCCTTATTATACAGGAATTCTGTAGTAATTACAAACATCAATATTTACCTATTGTCAAACCGCTGCCATGAGGGAGGAACCAGGAACGGGCCTTGTATGGAGGAAACTTGAATCCATGAAGGACCACCCACGGTCCCCTGCCCTACTTTGAGAACAACTTTGATCTCGGCGGCAACCTGGAACCAGGAACCAGCCAAGGCCGCCTGCCCCCATTCGACGACGGCGATTTTCCAGATTACGACGATATCGACTCCTACTTGCCCTACTTGCCAGATTACAATGCTATTGACGACGAAGAATTCAATTTCGGAGAGGGCCACGTCTCTATTTTCCATGAGTCAATTATCAATGCTCAGATGGCCTCAATGGCGGAATACCAGATGATAAGGGGACTACCAGATACGCCGGAATTGCAAACCCCGAAGCTACCAAAAAAGGGAGAATTGATTATTCTCAAGGATCCTGTTGTCACGTACTGTGTAGTTTGTAACGCGTACGTCGACCACGAGACTCTTCACGGCAAAAATGACAAGGATGATTCTGGCTTTCACTGTCCCTATGAATGTAGTGTTTGTTTGAAGTTTGGTCACATGGACATACATTGCCCGTACCAGTACCACGTACGCAAGGGCGCGGAAGTTGGCCATGGCGGTGTACTAGTCTGCATCTGTCGTAATAAGGAGGGTGGGCACCCTGGTAAGGATAACTGGGTAGGACGTGCTGTCGTGAAAAGGGGTCGTGTTCGTATTGTTAATAACACATGACAGACTGCCCCGAGAAAATGCACCAGACCGAGTTGATCCTGGATTAGATTATATTTATGTTAGTTGTGGTAGATAGATATGTGGAACTGGCTGATAGCTTTTGTTCTTGTTACTGTTTATGTTGCTGTGCTAGTTTCGTTGAGTCAACTCGTTTTAAAGTCAATGGAATAAAATCTGATTACCTTGCGGAGAAGAATTTGGAACCAACGGTTCCAGTCTAACACCTACCATCGAACAATCTTACAGTTATTCACCTGTAATGAGAACTTTGAAGAAGAAAAATGCGTCCGGTTAAAAGGCATCGAACATAAGCAATGATATATATAAACACTCGGGCACTAAACATAGTACACAAGTTCAATGACAAGTTCACTCAGCCAAACATATAAATACTAGTTTTGGTTCCCGCCGTCGGATCATTCCAACAATCAAACTCCGAGCCTTTTGGTTTGGAACTTCATTGCGGATTGATATGGGATCACTTGGCTCACAAGAGTTTATGGCGGGATGGAGGAAGCTGGGACAAGGGATGAGTGGGGATTCGGTGCTTCAACAGATTGCGTTTGGTCTATGGTGTAACTGGAAATGTAGGAATGAAGCTTGGTTTAATGATAATCGAATTTTGCCTTGCATCGTGATCGATTTGTGGCAGCGCCAGGTTACGGTATTTAATGCGGCTATGGCCGAGGAGGACGGAGCGGGGGATCGAAGGATGAGACAGGTGGACGCAGGGGACAAATTTCAGACCGAGGGTGCTGTGAATGGATGGCGAAGGCCGGACTCTGGAAGCTTAAAATTGAATTGTGATGCGGCTTGGAGGAAAGAATCAAGGTTAGGAGGAGTGAGTGGGCGCTACGTGACTCTGCTGGAATTCCAAAGATGGCTGGAGGAAAGGGTGGGGATAAGGTATTTATCTCCTATTATGGCTGAGGCGGCCTCGATTCGTCAGCGGCTAGAGATGTGCATTCACAGAGGATTTTCGGAGTCTGGGGAGGCGGTAGAGGTGGAAACCGATTCGAAGGGGCTGATTCAAATGCTCAATAAGGAGGTTCAACTTCAAGCGGACGTGTCAATGGAGTTTGGGCTATGATGCCTTCTTTTCAGTTGGTGAAGTTTATCTACACTTCTCGTCAGTGTAATCATGCAGCCATATGGTGGCGTCCTAAGTTCATAAGCATGTCAAAAGTTTTGGCCGGGATTAATTAGAACTACAATTTTTTTTAAAATTATCATGTTCAAGAGTATCTTATACTCTGAGTGTTTTAACCGTTTGGATTTTTATTTTTGTATATTTAAACAAAAATTTAACAGCTAAAACACTCGATAGTATCTTATACTTTGAGGCACTGAAGAAATCCCACAATTTAAGCCGCGAACAAAAACGGGTAATAATTGTGTTTCTCCATAAAAAACAATTTCTACCTCGCAGTAAGTGCATTTTGAGTGTTTGCTTTAACTAATTGCAGTAGAATCTCCCCCAACCTGAACCTGGTTTACATTCTTTCGGATGCAATCCAGCTCGTCATGTGAGAAGACAGCATGGCTTAAACTAGGACAACGAACAACAAAGGATGTTCTGTATGCAATGTGCTTACTCTCTTGAACTGAAATTGAAAGATCCATGAACGTCGACCAGAAGAAAGATCCATAAACGAACTGACATGGCGCCTTCCTTTCCTTATGCCTGGTGGAGATGTTGGGTACAACATAGAGAATGCAGAAAGCAACCGTCACCGTTGCATGAAACCAGAAATGCTCCGGTACGAACACTATAAAGAAACAAAAAAGCGCATTTTAACTGACACAAGGTGGCCGAAAATGTGGATGTGCACAAACTTGCTCAACAGCATCTATAATACATTTCTTAAACAGCATCAATTGAGGAGTGCTAATTGAGATACATGGGTGAAATAATATCTATGTATGTAAAAATATTAAAAATATAAAACTAATCATTCGCCCAACGAACCTCAAGAGCTACCATCCATTACTCTCCGAAAGAGTTCCTTTGGGGCTGCAATTAAAAGAAAATTAAATTGATACCATATTGGTAATAGAATGTGAATCCTATACTAAATTGATAGTGAATTATGAAGTGGTATAAGTTAATCTTACCAGGCAACCCAGTGAACCTCTCAAACTGTTCATATGCCTGTCCAATGAACATCTCCAACCCACTAACAACTATGGCCCCGGACTCTTTTGCTTCTTTCAAGAGTCGGGTCATTTTGGGGGTGTAGACGGCATCAAAAACCAACGAGTAAGATCTCAGAGCATGCTGCAAAAACAGAAATCCACTAAATCTTTTTCTATAAAAGTGACCTAAATAACATTTGGTGATATTTTGTCAGTTATAAAAAAATCCATATAAGAATATGGTTGGATTGGTAGCAAGACGTCCCAGGTTTGATGTTCCAAGCCATCATAGATGTATGGGTTTCCAGGTACATTTGGCCAAAAAAATAAAAAAAATAAAAAAATAAAAAAACTTCAAACTGATGAAACCCAAGGACCTAACTAGCCAGTTTCCTTAGTTCAAATCTATCGAGTCTGTCTCCTTTTACTTCATCAGATGGTAAATTTTTAATATTGTTTTTCCGCATTTGGTTTTTCGCTCTGGTTGCCTTCAAATCTTTTAGCTCAGATCATTGTAGGCATGTTCAAATACAGTCAAGTATTTTAATACAACGACAACCCATAATAAATAATTCAGCAAAATGGGAGGGCAGCAAACCTTAGAAATTGGTGTCTCATCAACTTTTGGTTGCATGCCAATAGATGTTGTATTTGCAAGAATCATGCCATCCTCTGGGTGGAAATTATCTAAATCAGCAAGAGACAAAGCATCCCCTCCAATTGTGTCTGCAAGTTCTCTGGCTCGATCTTTAACAAAATAAAAAATCAATCATAAGAACAAAAAATCAGAGTGATGTTATTTTATATAAGGTTAAGGAAAAATGAAAATGCAGAAGAGAGGATAAGAAACAAAGAAACAAATTCTGTAGCCAACATGATATACCAATCCGAAGTACAGAAATGTCAAGCAAAGATTTCGCATGCAGCACATGTCTAGAACATCAAAAAGCATGGGAGCATGAATCTATACAACAATACAATAAAATACACTTCAACGGTTGGGTAAAGCTTCATATCTCATACTACTGATGCAAAACTCATTGATATTTTTCTCAGGAGAAGATGGGAAAGGATGCAAGTTTGATCTGCTCCATGGTGTCATGTTAAATATGTGCTTTTAGTTCTCAGAGATTGGTTACTTAAAATATATGACACCGTCTTCTCAAAATTTATCACTGCATGAAACTACAAAGTGAACGAAAATGTTGCAGATGACACCACCGGCTTACATAAAGAAATTTCTCAAGAAAACGGATCAAATCTTTACACCCACATGAATGCACTCTAGCAATCACCTTATGTAAACCCTGGCAATCACCTAATCACCAGAGACCTTAACAATACTACCATTCCGGAAGTAAGTGTTGAGCTTTTCTCTCCTAAATTAACCTCCTAGGCAAACATACCGAGCGCTGAACCAAATAGCATAGTAAGTCCAGGTAGGCTATGAGAATATGGCACACAGAAAAATAAAGGAACATTGCGTTCTGCGGTAAGGGTGAAAGATTAAACACTACGGAGACATATACACAAGCTCCTTTAAACCAAATTATCTTCAGAATCTATTTATTTTTAATATCCTTAGTTGCTTTTTCCAAAGAATGAAATGTCCCTTCAACCATCTTTACTTATGATCTCAATTTTGATTTTCAATAAAAGAAAGATCAGGATGCTGAAATGCTGTATAAATGGAGTTTTTACTGTTCTAATAGACAATGTAAAAGAGCAATAACAAGCATGGATAATATAAATTGACGCATAAGAAAAATGAAAACTGTTAATGAAATGCTGAGAAAATAGATCAGAAAAGCAGATAGTTTATGAGCTAATAAAAGATGGAAGAAAAGAAAGTAAACGTAGAACCAACCATAAGTGCGATTGGCAATTGCAATCCTTGCGCCCTTCTGTTTTGCACCATAAGCAAGTGCCTTTCCAGCACCTCCAGCACCAATAACAACAAACAGCCTACCAGCTAAAGGTGAACCAGTTAAACTGCCACTATTATGTGAACCTGTAAAGTAAAAGTGGGAAGCCAGAAAACCTTAAAAGAAGATTCTTGCCAGAACAAAGAAAGAAGAAAAAACTTAGCTAGTACAACATAATAGTAACCTTTCAGTCCGTCTTCAATAGCTGAGATAGCCCCTACATAGTCCGTATTGAATCCAAATAACTTCCCATCAGTTGGTCCTCCGTATGATACAATTAATAGCTCCTATGGCCTGAATATTTTAATAAAGATAAAAGCCAATTATTTATGGATAGCATGACTCAGAGGTAAGCTAACTACTCAGATGGAGAATGTGAGCACCGTAATATGAATGGTTTCTTCACTACCTTTGCAACTGGATCAACTTCATCACAACACTCAAGTGCAGCTTCCTTGTGCGGAATTGTAACGCTGTGTTAGAAATGAAGACTATAAGATGTGATCATGATGTATAAATTTTTGATACTAGGGATAAGAAATAGAAAAATGAACCTGAAACCAGCAAAATCCTTTGAAGAGTAAGTATGGAGAAACTTTGCAATGTCATCTACCAACAAATGTACATAAACTCCATTGAAACATACTGACTTGAATGCTTCGTTGTACAACATAGGTGATTTGCTGTGGCTGACAGGCTTCCCAATAATGCCAAACACTTTTGTGTCAGGCCCTATTTGCCTAAAATTGTATAGATGTAAAATATTCTTGATAGTTGGTTGACCAGGAGCTGAAACAATTCCTGAGTCAAGCGAACCAAAAGTAAGAAAACCACCAAATTTTGCGCAAAGGATCCATGAAATCAACCCCTTCTCACCCATTACAAGTCCTATCGTCGGGACCTGAAATTCCATGAAGGGGTCAATTTTGTTTTTATCATACAGAGAATTAAAAATAAATAAAATTAAATGACTAAGGAGAAGACATTTGGCGCGAGCCTGTAGTGAGTTCACAGATTAAGACAGATAGTGATGTAAACAGAATCACTTCAATTACCGTTGGAACCCAGATTTCTAAAGGGAATCCAAGAGAAGCCTTAGGAGAAACTGATTTTACTGGTAAAATTCATCAAACTGGTCTGCCCCCTCCAAAACTAGGTCATAGCCTTTATAGTACATTACTAAATTCCCCAGATCTTTCCAGATAGGCCCTTTAAGTTTTCTGTATTAATAACTTCTCCATAACAACTACACGTATAGCATTAATAATCTCCTAGAACCCCCTTAGACTTTCCTCACATTGTAATTACTTAAATACTAAAAACAGAGACTTAAATTCAGCTCACTATAAACAATGGGCCAAAATTTGAAGGTGCAATGCAAAAGCATATCACCTACACTGCTTACTTGAGAATGCACAGTTACGTGAAAAATGCGTGCTACATCCGTGATATCCAAAGCACTGGTTGCAATCTTAACTATGTCAGCTCCAGTGGCTTGTATTTTTGCAACAAGATTTCCAAGAGCCTCAACCGATGGAGTTTCTTGATAGTTGTGAGAAGAGACAATAACTTTAAACTTTTCAGGCTTCTTCCCATATATGGAGTCAATGAATTCATGAGCAACCTTGAAAAAAAGTTAATAACATAAGAACAAGGTAATTCAGGATTAACCCCTTGGCGTTAGTCCAAGTGGTGTGAGGGAGGATTGGGAAAGGGTTCGGATTAGAATAGGTCAAACATTTGATCCCTTCCAATGTAACCCAAAAAAAAGACAAAAAATTCTAATTCAGGTTTAACATCCTAGTGTGACAAATTTAAAATGGAAAAGGAAAGATAAATAATGTTTCCAATATCTTTGCGACGATGGCAGTAGTAAGGATACATTGTTTAGATTTGAAACACAAAAGAATGTATTCACATGCTTCTTCATCGATAGTTCATTTCATTGCATAAGTTTAGAGTTCTTATACACATCTGGCAATCCATAAACAGCTCTCAAACAATTATTCGGTAGTGTAGACTTAGGAGGAACTAAACAACATCACTTCCTTTCCATTTGACTCTAACTTTTGAATCATCCTAACAAACAAGGACCGAAAAGTTTAAAAAGAAAAGGGAAGAGAAAGACCTTAATAAGTTCTCCTTACTATCATTGTATCTAGCACCTATGAAGTACAAAATGAATGACATCATGTTACACATCTTATGATTCCATCATACCAAAGAAAAAAGTTTTCAAGCTATACACTTGTAAGAGATCAACCTGAAGCTCAACATCAATGAAATCAGCTCCGAGCTCCATTGCTAATCGAAGTGCATCCAGTCGATATTTTTCATCACCATCATACTGACCACCTTCCCACTTTGGTCTACAAAAGTACATAATATCAGTCTTGTCAGATATTATCTCACTGCGAGATTCATAAGGTCATAACAGTCCAAAAACTGTTAATAACGAGCAAAGAAACACTTCATAAGAAGACAAACTGAAAGGTTCACCGACAAGAAAATAAAATCTATTAACATAAACACTTGAAAGATAATGCAATGAAATTTAATGAGAATAATTGTTGTATCCATCCGAGTGATAAATCGTCATTATGGCGATGTCGACTTAAACTCGTGTTTAATACAACAATGTAACAACCATCCCTAAATCCAACCAATTCTAACCCTGAAAATACGGGCGTACCGCAAACAATCTCAATCATATAAGAAATTCATGGTAAAATACCTATACGTGATAAGTGTTGGCAAAGGGGATTCTTTAATAAGGATCTTGAGATCTTCATTGCAATTGAAGTCTTTTAAATGATCCAACCTAACCTCCACAAGGTCAGCACCAAGGGCTTTGGCCTTGCCCATATCAATCACCATTTTATCCACGGATTCCGCCATTATCGGAGCACAAATGACGGTCGAACTCCTCCTCACGCCGTCAACTCCCACTTGCAGGCCATCAGAAGCAAGCTAAAAAATTCCCAAAAAAACAAAATTAAAAAAATTGCAGAAATTCGACAATATTCACACTATTGAAGGTAAAATTTCTCTGAATCTAATATAAAATTTGTTCAAGAATCTAATTAGTTATTTAAGACAAAAATGCTGAAAAATATGAAACAGTTTGACCATTTATAACCTTATATATTTTCCTGGCAGCCAATCAGAATAACAGAACAAAATAAATAGCAAAAAATAGATCATCCCAATTATTTCAAGTTCTACATCTTCTTTTAGTTGCTGATAGAAATTACAGAAATTCAGAAAAATATAAACCAATTTTTTGGGTTTTATATCTTAATCTGGGTCGTGCCGGCAGGCATGGAAGAGAAAAGCATAGGCGCAGTGCAGAGATATTGGTAATTGCTGAGAAGATTTACTTACCAAAACGTTTTGGGGAGAATCCATCGGAGTGTTTGAGGGACGTCGCCAGAAAGACGCTGCTGCTTTTGGTGTTGGGATTGGTGCGATGCAGCGCACAGTGATGTGGTAGGTGTCAAAAGAGGGATGAGTTTGGTAGGAATTTTTGCCATTGAGTTCTGGTCGGCGCGCCTTAGGATCACTTACAAAAGTACAAAAAACTCTTAATTATTAATATCACGATATTTTCATACCTCATCTTTTAAAATTAACAATGTCATACCTCATCTTACGAATTTATGTCAATGTTATACCTTTCGTTAGCTTGGCCGTTTATTTCTCAGTTAAATACTGACGTAGCTTGATCGGGACCCATTTTTATTAAAAAAAATTAATACAAAATTATTAAAAACAAAAAAAAATCATTTAATATTATTTAAATATTAAAATAAATAAAAAAGTACATAAAAAACCAAAAAAAAAAAAACCTCTGCATCTCCCCTCTCTCTCTTCCCCATTATCTTCCTGCAACCCATAAAAAAGAAGGAGGAAGAAGAAGAAGAAGAAGAAGAGAAAATAAAAAAAACCCAAACCAAACCAAACCCAGTTCATCCCCCCCCCCCCACCACAAACCCAACCCCCTGTAACCTAGAAAGGAGGAGGAAGAAGAAGGAAAAAAAAAAAAAAAAAAAAAAAAAAAAACCCAACCTAACCTGAAGGATGAAGAAGAAGAGGGAAGAAGAAGAAGAAAGAAGAAGAGGAAGAAGAAGGGAAACCACCCCCCTCCCACCCAACCTACAGAAGAAGAAGAAGAAGAAGAGGGGGAAAAAAAAAACAACGGGAAACCCGTCCCCCCTCACCCACCCAACCTGCAGAAGAAGAAGAAGTAGAAGAAGAAGGAAGCAGAAGAAGAAAGAAGAAAAGGAAAAAAAAAAAACAACGGGAAACCCGTCCCCCCTCACCCACCCACCCAACTTGCAGAAGAAGAAGAAGAAGAAGAAGAAGAAGAAGAAGAAGAAGAAGAAGAGGGAAGAAGAAGAACAGAGAAGGAAAAAAAAAAAAAAACCCAGTTCGTCCGTCCCCCCTCCCCCAATTTTCTCCTCGCCTAGGAGAATAGGTTTGGCGAAGGTTTCCTGATTCCACCTCAACAGGATCTGGGTTTTTTTTTTTTTTTTTTTTTGGGTTGTAGGTAGTGGGTGTGAGGTTGGGTGCAGAGGGTGGGGTGCGAAGGTGGGGAGCAGGGAAAACAAATTGGTTTTTTTTTTTTTTTTTCCTCTTCTTTTTTTCTGGGTTGCAGTTGCAGAAAAAGGAAGAAGATGAAGATGGGGAAAAGGGAGGGGGGAAGGGACGAATTGATGTTGGGTTTTTTTTTTTTTTTAATAACTTTTCTTTATTATTTTAATATTTAAAAAATATTAAATGATTTTTTTTAGTTTTTAATAATTTTTTTAATAAAAAATGGGTCCCAGATTAAGCCACGTCAGCATTTAACTAAGAAATAAACGGCTAAACTAACAAAAGGTATAACATGGACACAAATTCGTAAGATGAGGTATGACATTGTCAATTTTAAAAGATGAGGTATGAAAGTGTCGTGACACCAATAGTTGAGGTAGTTTTTTGTATTTTACCCTACCTTTTTTTTTATTGGAACTTAGTACAAGTTGATACGCAGACGGGACAGAACGGAACAAAACGGAAAGGAATGAGACAGGACAGGACGGGATAGAACGAAGGTTTCGTGTTATGTTTGGTACGCGCAAGACAGAACGGGACAATTGTTCCATTCTGCGTTTGGTAAGCGCTGGACGGAACGGAATCAAAAGATTGAATGACCAATTTTACCCTTGTTCTGTCTGTTGTTTAGTACAATGTTTATATGTGGGACGGGACAGGACACTTTTTTTTTTTTTTTTTAAGAACTTGTTCATATTTGAACACATATATGTTATCTATATTTTTTAAAGTAGTACATGGCTAAAGATATGTTATGCCATTTCTTGACTGAAGACATGGCTGAAGAACCAAAACGAAAAACAATGACAAAGAATTTAGAGAGAGAAAGTGAATATAACTCACGGGTTCTGTAACAAAATTGAAATTTTTAGTTTTAGAAAATCTTTTGCCTGGGAACTGAGGAACAAGTTACAAGATCTTCGGATGCAGTTGTACAATTTATTGGATTTCAAAAGTATTTTTAAAGGTTGAAGTAGAAAAACTAAATAAAAATAATTAAGGGCTCAAAAGTTATTTTTAGGTGTCTAAAATCTTCGGAATGTCCTACATTAATATTAAAAAACATGTGGTGCGACAAGAATGACTTGAAAATAGGCTTACGATGAATTTTGCAAAATTTCGCAGAACCCATTGAAAATGTGGGCTTCATGAATTATGTGAAAAATTGAAATTTTTAGTTTTGGGAAATCTTTTACATGGGAATTGAGGAAAGTATTACAAGATCTTTGGATGCAATCATACCATTTATTAGGTCCCAAAAGCATTTTTTATGTTGAAAGTAGAAAAACTAAATAAAAATAATTATGGGTCTCAAATGTCATTTTTAGGTGTCTAAATCTTTGGAGTGTTCTATGCTAATATTAAAAAAAAAAAGAACAAGAAGAATGAATCGAAAATAAGCTTAATCGAAAAAGCCAATTGAAAATGTTGGTTACACGCAGATCCTGTGAAAAATAGAAATTCTTAGTTTTGGGCAATCTTTTGAATGGGAATTAAAGCTTCCATTATTTATCTGTTAGTAGCATGCACGTGAGTCTTATATGTAAGGATAAGATGGTCATTTCATAGTGATCGGTAGGTGACTAAAATTTACAGCCCACTCTAGTTCATCAACCGAAAGAAAAGAAAAAAAAAAGAGCATCGAACATGGGGCCCACCATAGTTCATAAAAGGCACATTTCAATTGTTTTTTTTTTTTTTTGTAAAAAAGGCCGAAGAGCACAGAAAGAGTAAGCAAACACAGGAGGCCCAAAAATTAAGGTTACAGACAGTCGAATATAAGAGGCATCCAAAAATCTTGGCCGTTTATAAAACCATCAGGCGTACATTTCATGTTTTTTCTCCAGCATCGATAAAATCTACTCTATCCACGATGCACCCAACATCTTAGCCATGAAACTATACTGGTCAGCAGCTTCGTCAATCTGTTCATACAAGGGGCAGATAAACAAATACAATGACTATGATACAACCAAGAATCTAATAACGAAAACATCCAATACTTACCATTTTCTGGGTTGGAAGTCCAGCTCCATGCCCCGCCTTGCATTCAATGCGACCAATAATCGGATTTGTCTGTGGGCTATTCTCCAAACTTGTGATCAGAACATATTGCAAGGTCTAACAACAAAGATGAGCACACATCAATAAAAGATTTTTGTTGATAATGAGTGATAACAGCAGTAACGGTGAGAATATAACATTAAGGCCACCAGGTTTAAATTCCCATTCATCATTGTCTTATGGATTCTATTCGCAAAAGAGACTAACCGCCAATAACTTCAACGAGTGTAGTGGTACAACTCGATCATCATGATCCGCAGTCAATAACATGGTAGATGGGTATTGGTGAGGTTGGCTTGCATGTTGTTCCCATGGTCTCCTAACATTGTGTAAAGGCGAGTACCTGAAAGCAGAAGGTAGAATAGGGAGAGGATAAGCACAAGTTTATATTCGTAAGAAAATCCAGAAATCTGAGCTTGTCCCAGAAACATAATAAACATGATCGCAAACCGCCTACTAAGCAGATTGATGAAGAGAGGACTCATAATGCATAATCCCTCTTATTCTAATAGTTACTCTCATTCCAGAAACAAAAATTAGCAAGGTAGTGAAATACTACTAATACATTGCTTTAAAAAATTACCCTATGTAAAACCGCAAGTTGCAATCAAAAACATTAACACCACCAACAGTAGGACGTGGGAAAAAAGTAAAAAAAAAAGACACATTACTCACTTAATTAACCAACGGAACTCTTCCTCCTTGTCAGAGCAGCCATAATCAGAAGTCCAGGCATGACCTGAAAACATCTCTTAAATCAGACATATGTTGACACATATACAGTAAAAGAAAGGAAAAAGAAAACACTCAGATCATCTCCAATGGTTCGGATAAAGCTTAAATAATTTAAGTCTTAAATCACCCCAAACAAATTCCAACCATAGGGCTAAAATAAGCCTTGAAGAGAGAATAAATCTTTGGTCTAGATTGCCCCCAAAAATTAAAAGCTTGGCTTAAATCATTCTGGACCCACCAAACTGTCTCCCATGAAGGTGGGCTCCACAACTGAAGCCCAAATTCCCAAACCAAGCACCACACGCCAACAAAGCACGGAAGGGGCCCAGGCAACAGTCCTATTTCAACTGTGATCAAATGGTCCAAAATATATGACTGTTGGATCAAACAACGGTCTTATTTCAAACCTCTTTTTTTTTCTTTTTTCTTTTTTTTTACTTATAATCCAACCGCTGTGATCAAAATGATATCAATATCTAACGATTAAAAATAAGATCTGTCAGCCCAAAATTATATTAATGTCCTCAAATTAATTGAAATCAAATTTCACTCAAAAACTTTATAAACACGTCTTAATTTGTTCAACCGTCCACAAAAATTTAAATCAAATTCCACTTCCAAAACTATTTCTTCCCTTTTCCAAATTTTTCAAGATGTTGCTTTGTGCTTGTAAAATGATGAAGGTGTTGCTTTGTGCTTGGCAAGGGTTTCTATTAGCAAAAAGATGGTGCAATCGGCATAAACCAAAATAAAAAGCTCATGGGGTAAAATCCTTGACAAATTAATTCCATCTCCAACACCAATCGAACTAAGGTGTTTACAATCGATGGAAGAGTATCGGCAAAGCATGTAACTTGTGGAAGGGAAGCTTGGATAAAGCCATGGTTAATGCTAGTGGAAGGATTTTGGAAGAATAGACGAGAGGAGACAAATGAATAATTCGTCCAAAGGCACTTACTCATGGAGAAGCAAATGGAAAACGAAGATGCAAGAGACCTGTTAGAGCAAGAAAGGTTCGAGTTTGAGGTAATGAAGGAGAACCTCAACAAATATACTCCAAGGGGGAAGAAGTTCTCCCATGATAAGCAACCAGAAATTTTAAGGCGCCAGCCATGCCACAAAGAATATGTTCGATTCATCTAATGATCCATCTAATGTCTATTGCCCAAGTCCACCACCAACTCAACCAACTCCCTACGAATACTAGTATTACTAATTGTTGTAATTTTTATTTGCTAAGGTATATTGTTTTAAATTTTATGTACAGTTTTAATTATAGTTTGTATTAGTAATTGTTATCGGAATTTAAATATTTTTAGGTTCAAATGTCCATAAAAATAAATTCGGACATAATTCACATAAATTTTAGTTTTAAAAAAGTTACAAAAAAAAAAAAAAAAAAAGGCTAAAATCATTATTTCATAATCTCGGGCTAAACTTTTAAGCCCTAACCATTGGAGAAGGGCAATTTTTTGGGTTATGGCTTAAAATTTTAAGCTTCATCCCCAACCACTGGAGTTGGTCTTAGTGGATTAAAAGGAAGCAAACTCACCTATGGTAAACTTGTGGAACCGTAGCATATCCATAACACCAACATGAGCCAGCGCACAACCAAAAAGATCAGGTCTCTGCAAGAAAGAAAATTTTTATTTTTTATTTTATTTCATTTTCTTTAATCACTCGCAACAGGTTAAATAGTAGACAAAACTCGCCTGATTTATGCAAGCTCCAACGAGCAGTCCACCATTACTTCTACCTTCAATACACAACTTGCTGGGTTGGGTATAACCGGCAGATACAAGGTATTCAGCTGCAGAAATGAAGTCATCAAAGCAATTTTGCTTTTTAGAGAGGGAGCCTGCTTTATGCCATTCCTCACCATACTCTCCACCCCCACGGATATTGGCTATGCAGTAAACAACACCTAAATGCCTTGTAAGTACACTACGACTAACAATGAATGAAGGCGTAATACTAATGTTAAATCCACCATATCCGTATAGCAAGCATGGATGTGATCCATCCAAACTAATGTTCTTTCTGGCCACAACAAATGTTGGTATCTTAGTGCCATCCTTACTGGGAACGAATACCTGGAGAATGGAGAATCCAATCAATGAAACAGCACTCGAGGGTTCAAACACCAGAGAACTGAAGATATATTAGAACTGATCTAATCACAAAGTAGAATGAACTATGGTAAAATGTTATAACAAAATGAAGATAGATTAGAATGAGTCAGATCAAGTTAGTGACACTAAAATATCAGTGCAACAACCTTCTACCTGATCAACATGGAACTTTGAGCGTTCAAACCCAGGAACCGTAATTTCGCGAAATACCTTCAAGTCTGGAATTTCATTGTCTAGATTACACTGATAAATTATACCAGGGGTAAGAAAACTTGTAAACTTAAAAAAAACTGTACTGTCTTCACGTCTTGCCGAAATCCCATTAACCGATCCAATGTCAATCGGTAATTGATGCAGCAAGTTACCTGATTTCAAATCCCTTATCTGTACAACATACTTCACATCACTCAAGTAACTAACAATCATTTGGGTACCATTTACAGCAAATGCTGATTCAAGCACATCTTTTTCAGATTCTGGGACAACATCAGTCCAAACAGTTGGTTCCTTCAGATCAACTCGGACCAACTTATATTTTGGAGCATCCTTGTTTGTCAGAAGAGTAAACACAGTTTCATCATTTGCAATGACATCATACTGTGCATCAAATTTATCAATAACCTTGATAACTGGCAGTAAATCATTTTTCCCCCTTAGACCTTCAAGACCATTAGGAAGTGCAGACATGTCACAGTAATAAAATTTGTTGACTGGGTCGCAACCCTCGTGAACATACAGAAGAATATACTGCAGATTACAAAAAAATAAAAGAAATGTTAGTTAAAAATAATATCACAAGAAATCTGCTCTTTCTAGGCTAGACAAAAATCTGATCTAAACAATTAGACAAAACATAAGCAATGCCTTAGACAGCCAAAAGCCAATATTTGTGACTGACATTGCAATTTCGATACATGTTGAGCAGTTCCCCCTTAGGGCAGAGTATTTGATGCATCCTAAAATGTAAACTCCATTCTAATGTAGAATCACAAAAATATGGAGACAAAAATTGACATATCTTCATTTCAAAAACAACACATATTACGACTGCTTCAACAATAAGAAAATGACAGCCATAAAACCCAGGAAGATAATAAATCTACTTACTTTCCCATCATCTGTAACATTAGCTCCAAACGAGTATTTAGGATTTTCAGAATCCCTCCAGCATAATATGTCTTCTGATTGATCAGTACCCACAAAATGATAGTATAACTCGTGATAAAGATTTGAGTTGGTCTCCGTCCCAGCATCAATATCTTCTCCTTCTCTTCAGAATAAATGAGCAGGCTAAGTATTTAATTTCACTATTTTACATAGCTTTTGCAATCGAGGAAATCTCAAAATAAATCTAAGATAGCTATCCACTGCCATAGTCTCTGTAACATCATATCTACATTGCTATACTCACATCCCAAACTTAAGCACAGCAGAGCCTTGCAATTGCCAAACCATCTATAGATCTTCACCAAATAAGTAAAGCAACAATTTATACAATACTTCTGTCCTTTTCTTTTAACTTTTAGTCATTAATTTTTTACAACTGAAGTTTCAAACTAACAACCATTCTGATTATATAACCGCATAAAAATCCACATGTCACACTTTAAAGTAAAGATACAGAATGCTTCTTACTTTGGAGCTGGATAGCGGCTGTAGAAAAACCCTTTATGATCATGTGTCCAGCGAATACCCGAAAACTTGACCTGGAAACCAACGTTGACAAAAAATCGTACACTCAGAACGACAAATAGTCTCACTGATAACACTCGTTTCTAATTACATCAAAACAAGGAAAACTCAGCACTTACCCATGATATAGTTTCAGGTTCGACCGCCTTATCCTCAACCCGCATCACTTTAATCGTTGCCCAGTCACTGCCACTTGAACTAAGGGCATAGGCCAAGTACTTGGCGTCCTCACTAATTGAGTAAGTGTTCAAAGAAACAGTCCCATCTTCGCTAAGCGTATTTGGATCAAGCAACACCTCTGCTTTTCCATCCAAACTATCCTAAAACCACAAATTAAAGAAACAGACAAATATATCGAATGGATGAAAGCATATGCAGTTGGTAATCAAATTCTGAGGCAAAGGGAATACCTGCACGTAGAGGACACTTTGGGCTTGAAGCCCAGTGTTGTGGGTGTAGAAGTACTTGTTCCCTCGCTTAAGAGGTGGATCATAACGCGGGTGATCGAAAAGCTGGGTGATCTTTTCCCCAAGCTGGCCTCTCGTATCGCATTCCTTCAGAACCGACTGCGTCAATTCTACTTGTTTCTGTACGAACTCTTTCGTCTCTTCGCAGTCAGGATCTTCAAGCCTAAACGATGAAAGAAAACCCCAAAATTCAATCAAATTCTTTGAAAACAAAAAATCGGCGATTAAAATCTTCAACCCTAATCAAGTGGAGTTGCTTGTATTACCATCTGTAAGGATCGGCGACCTTGACGCCGTTATAGTCGTCGACGACGGACTCGTCTCGGCGGGCGGTAGGGTAGTGCAAGGGGACGTCTAGGGCGCGGAGGGAACCCATTGCGTTCGTGTTTCTAGGTTTTGGGTGAGAGGACGAGGAGGAGGAGAAAGAGCAAAGTGGAAATTATATATTATATATTATATATTATATATCTTTATATACTAAAACTCAGTGAGGTGTACTGTGGATGACCAGTGGGCGGACGATTTTGCCCCTCGCTCTCCCGTTGTGTGGCTTGCTTCGTGCAGTGGAAAGACAGTTTGCCCATTCTTTCCACGCGTCCGTCATCGTGCTTAAGGAACAGTTGCCCGGCTTGCCCACATGTCCATCATCACTGGACCTGCTTTCGGCTTCTTCAGTGCTTTTCGCCTTTCTCTCTCACCATTCTCAGTTTTTGCTATTATGAACCCTGGCTTTCTTTGTCTCGAAAACGGCGGTTTGTCTCGCTCATCAACCTTGCCGTCTCTCTCACAAATTATCAACAACGATGGTCTCTTGCCGGAAAAAGCACTCAGCTAGAACTTTTTTCGATTTTTCATTCGAATCGATTCAATTTTTTACCCAAAAAAGTTAGTGTTTACTGGTGAGTTTTTCCGCCTTTCTCAACGTGGGTGTTTTATTTTTTAATTTTTTTGGTAGTTTAGGATTTGCAGATGGGTTTTGTGTTTAAGTTTGCTTTTTCTGATTTTGTTTGTAGGCTCGGATCCTTCCTCATCTTCTTCATCCAAACCAGTAGCCCCACCTTCGATTATTACCGACGGAAACATGACATATTAAGGCGCAACAACAATACTGTAACACTTATAAGAAAGAGCTCCAAACCTGCGAAGGTATTCCTTTTTTTTTTTTTTTTTTTTTTTTTTTTTGTTCTGGGCTTTGAGCTGTTTAGATGTTGAGAATAAGTTTTTAATTTTTTTTTTCATTACTTTGTTTATGGGTTCGCTCCAATTAAGACAATTAGGGAATGGGTTTAGTGTGAATTTAAATTATGGGAAATCCCTTGAGGAAAATCTTAGAATTTTTTAATTTTTGTGAATATATTTGTATTGAATCACTGACCTCTTTTTTATTTAGTAGGGAAAAAGGGAATGATGCGATTGAATAAGGCAATATGGATGAATTTCTTTAGTTCTTGCCATGATAATCTATTATTTTACTCTTTCACTTTATTTTACAGATTCGTTCGAACACCTGCAGGAAGAAATAATAAGGCCGTTGAAGCGTAGAACGTAGGTTTACTTTGATGCCAAGGTTATGAAAAAAGAGTGGTTTGTACATTAGCTAAGTACATATAAGTATATATCTCTGTGTATGTGTTTGTATCATTTGTTTTGATTGCGATTCTTGGTTTTGCGATTAGGATTTTTGGAAGGAGGCTTCGATTCAATTATTGGAACAGATAATATTTATCGAAAAATTCAATGGGTCAGTAGAAGCTGGCTGCTTGCAAAGACAAGAACATCAGTATATATGCATTGGAATTTGTTGCGCTGTAAGTAGCTTTATAGGCATTGTATGCCATTGCCAATACATCAGCTTATATAGCAGCAAAATTGTTTTGTATTAACTACTTTTTTTGTCCTTTTTTTAGCTGAGGCTTTGTATCGTGTGGACTTCAATTGGTGAGTATCACTTCGATGTTGATATAGTTTATTTTGTTGTAGAGGATATGAAGAAGTGGAAAGGTACCTGGTGGAATGTGAGTTTTGCTGCTTAAGACACAGAATGGTAACTTAGTTATTTCATTTGCTTTTTGGCTATTTCATTTGCTCTGTACAATGCGTTTTAGTTTTGTTCAACTCATAGATAGTTTAACCCATGATATGTCTTCTCATCGTTCTTGGATATCATTAACTACTCCTTGCAAAAGGTGAAACTGAATATATACAAAATTTTATATTTGTGCATCAATAGATTACTATGACTAATTTAAAGAAATTGTTCCAATTTGGTATCAATTGTGTTCAGTTGTTTGGAAGCATAACTATGTCTGCAAGAGATTTACTGAGGATCCGGATTGCATCATGTTCTGAATGAGCTTGAAAGAGGAGTTGCTCTTCATCTGACAATTGCATCGCATGTGAGTAATGTCTTCTGTTTTCATGTCTAAATTATTGAGAATTAACTTATACAGATGGGGATTAAGTGATTTAAAGACATTGCATTTTAGAATAGGTTTTGTTAATCTACCCATGGTGGAACCCAGCTGTTGAGAGGCTACCATAAGATAGAATCCACCAGATAGGGCAGTACAAACCGATCAGGCACACATTTTTCTCCAGTTCTGTAAGGTGTTCCCAACTATTCAAACCAAAAAATCTATGTTAATATCTCTAATATTTTCTTCTCCATTGCAGAATTATTAGATTGTTTTGGAATTTGATTAGTTCAATTTGTTTTTCAATTTTTTATTAATGTTGGATTGTTGGCTTATAAATTTAGAGTGGGTTGCTTTAGATTTTACTTGGAGTAGCTTGCGAATTGATTGCTGGGTTTTAATTTAGAGCACTATCTAATCAAATGAAGGGCCAAGAGTTTCTATTTGAATGATGGTCCCAGATCATTTCATTCGTTCCAGAAATGTTTCTGAATTTGAGGACTTAAAATCCAGACTAAAGAGTAGCATTATCTTGGATTGCCTATCTTAGCATGATGATTTTAAATTACAACAACTTTAAATTTTACATTTGGAGTGTATTTTCATGTACAGGACAAGGTGTGGATTGGATAGCAGGATCTGGTTGGAAGACAAGATTTTGTGAAAGAAAGGGTAAGAAAATGCTGATGAATTTTCGTTGTTGATCTGTGCATGTAAGAGCTCTTACTGATTGTTTTGTTTTCTTTTGGCCATGTAAAAGCTCTGTACATAGAGTTCACAATACATGCATAGTTTTTCATTGTTCTAAAAATTCTAAGTTCCTATAAATCTTTTCCTGCATTTATGAATTCTAAATAAATGCAAATCATAAAAATAATCAGAGTGGATAAAATTATTGGCTTATGTGCACTAATGAAATATGGCAGCCTTTCAGCTCCCACCCAAGGGTTTTTTAAAGAATGATGTAATTAAAGCAATTACACGCTCTGTTATGTTTTATATATAGTTGTGGTAGTTGTAAGGGAATGAAATATTTATGCAGATAATTGGTAGTTTAAATATATAAAAATGGAGAATAATTATAAATGGAACACCTAGGATATATAACATTGTTTTGTTTTGCATGTTTTCTCATGTTAGCACAGCTTTTGTTTATGCATTTTATTCAAGTGCTATTTTTTATTAGTGTTAATTTCGGGTTGTACATCTAAAAATTTAGTTTTTTTGTTGCCATTGTACATCTAACAATTAATTATTCGTTTGGAATTTGGTTGTTTGTTAATTTTTGATTACTACCTATTCTATCAACTTCATCTAAACTGTTTTGCATGTATAAGATTTGTGTTCGTGCAAGTGATTTCAGACAGATTTCAAGCTGGGGTGTAGAGTTTTGATTCAAATTGGTGGATTTGGGTAAGAAACTAAGAAACCATGATATTTTCTTTTGGTTGTAAGATTTGAAATGGACATGCATGTGCTTTTCTTTGTGAGATATAAGAAATTGAGAAATTTTTTTGTTTATTGTTCTGGGGTGGGAGGGGTATTGACAGATATAAGAGCATTAGTAATTTTAATCAATTTGATAAATTAAGAATAGCGAGTTAGCGATATACACAAAAAATTTGTTAATAAATTGGTTAATAGGTTTTCATTTCCATTTTATTATTAGCTCTAATGCTTTTGCTTGACTTATGTGTATGATACAATTGATATGTTCTGTGTATATGAGCTTGCTTGAAATATAGCTAGGAAACATCTTTCCTTTTTTTATTTGGGCAAACATTTATTTCCTACACTGTTAACTTTCTTTAATGCTTGCTCTAGATTTTACAGGTTCTTTTTAAAGTTTGGCACTAAATTGCTTTTCTTTTCTTGGGTGCAAGGAAAATGAAGGAAGAGAAAGAATTAAATTCTGGATTTATCAAACACTTTGTAGATATTCCATGCATTTTTGCAGCTGGAATCTTTTGGTAAATACTTAACCTTTTAATCAAAGCCTATGTATGCCAATTGGTTTTGTAGTAGCATCAAATAATTAATTGCTTTTTTATTGGTAAGTGCCTAAATGTTTACACTTCAGTTTAACAGAAAATGAGAAATTGAGACAAAGTTGGAACCTAAATTACCTAATAAATCAATATTAGCAAACCCATGAACTTATTTCGTGATTATCACGATATTGTTTCAATATCCTACTTTTGCTTGCAATTCTGTTCTCTCCAAGACATTAAGGTGCATTTTTGGTTTTTAAGTTTCACCGCCAGATAACTGTTTGATTGTGATCTCTCTATGAGATTGGATATATGATTTAAAATTTTTGTTAACAAATGTTAATTGTGATTCAATTGTTTTTTCAATCATGTAAGGAGATGCAATCTAACTGATTGTAAAAGATGTCGACTATGTTGAACAAAAAATAGAAACTGCATGTCTGTATTATGAGAGGAAATGGAGAGCAATCTGTCTCAGTTTTGGAATGTGCTAGAATCAAAGAAGCTAACTCAAGGTGTTAACTTTGAATTTCCCCGAAATATCCTTTTTTTATTAATTATTTAGACGTAGAAATTCTCTTTGTTATTTTTATTAATTATTTATTTGGGAGTTAAGTGAAAATCAGTAAATGCGGATTTGTGTTTGTTTGCCCAGCTGCTATTTCAAAGCTGGAGGAGGCATTGTTGATTAATCCTAGGAAATATGATGCTCTGTGGTGCTGGGAAATGCTTAAATTGCTTGCGCAATGCACTCTGGACCAGAATGAAGCAAAGGTTCCAAAAGGTGTTGTACTGCTTCCAGAAGGCTTCCAACGAGGTACTTCCACTTACAAATTTGTTATTCTTGGAATTTGTAATGCCGCAGCAACGCGCGGGCATTACTAGCTAGTATACACTAAACGGCTAACTTTTCAGTTAATTCCCTTTGTGTCCCAGTGTTTTTCCAATTTTGCCCTTCAGTTGCTCTTCAAGTCTTGCTTTTTTGGTCTTTTACACAATAAAATGACGATTTTGGCCCTCGAGGTGCCATGTTTCACATGTGTTGGTATCCTGTGTATCTTTTTTTTCATTCAGACTCCCTCCTCGATTCCAAGCATTTTTTTCTTACCTAATTCACACCTGGCAGCAATGATGCATGCCTTTCCACTAAAAAATCATTAAAAAACAAAAATCTGGAACATGCCAAAAATAGAAAATAGAAAAAGGGAAAAAGAAAGAGAGAGAAACAAAAGATGAGCATGAATTATGAGAGAGGGCGTCTGTCATCAGAAGGCTAACTTTTCAGTTAATTCCCTTTGTGTCTTTTTTACTATTCATTCGCCACTGTTTTTCCAATTTTACCCTTCAGTTGCTTTTCAAGTCTTTCTTTTTTGGTCTTTTACACAGTAAAATAACGATTTTGGCCCTTGAGGTGCCATGTTTCACATGTGTTGGTATCCTGTGTATCTTTTTTTTCATTCAGACTCCCTCCTCGATTCCAGCGTTTTTTCTTACCTAATTCACACCTGGCAGCAATGATGCATGCCTTTCCACTAAAAAATCATTAAAAAAACAAAAATCTGGAACATGCCAAAAAAAAAAAAGAATAGAAAAAGGGAAAAAGAAAGAGAGAGAAACAAAAGATGAGCATGGATTATGAGAGAAGGCGTCTGTCACCAAAAGGCTAACTTTTCAGTTAATTCCCTTTATGTCCTTTTTACTGTTCATTCGCTAGTGTTTTTCCAATTTTGCCCTTCAATTGCTCTTCAAGTCTTGCTTTTTTGGTCTTTTACACAGTAAAATGACGATTTTGGCCCTCGAGGTGCCATGTTTCACATGTGTTGGTATCCTATGTATTTTTTTTTTTTCATTCAGACTCCTTCCTCGATTCCAGCATTTTTTTCTTACCTAATTCACACCTGGCAGCAATGATGCATGCGTTTCCACTAAAAAATCATTAAAAAAACAAAAATCTGGAACATGCCAAAAAAAAAAAGAATAGAAAAAGGGAAAAAGAAAGAGAGAGAAACAAAAGATGAGCATGGATTATGAGAGAGGGCGTCTGTCACCAGAAAGCTAACTTTTCAGTTAATTCCCTTTATGTCCTTTTTACTGTTCATTCGCCAGTGTTTTTCCAATTTTGCCCTTCAATTGCTCTTCAAATCTTGCTTTTTTGGTCTTTTACACAGTAAAATGACGATTTTGGCCCTCGAGGTTCCATGTTTCACATGTGTTGGTATCCTATGTATATTTTTTTTCATTCAGACTCCTTCCTCGATTCCAGCGTTTTTTTCTTACCTAATTCACACCTGGCAGCAATGATGCATGCCTTTCCACTAAAAAATCATTAAAAAAACAAAAATCTAGAACATGCCAAAAAAAAAAGAATAGAAAAAGGGAAAAAGAAAGAGAGAGAAACAAAAGATGAGCATGGATTATGAGAGAGGGCGTCTATCACCAGAAGGCTAACTTTTCAATTAATTCCCTTTGTGTCCTTTTTACTGTTCATTCGCCAGTGTTTTTCCAATTTTGCCCTTCAATTGCTCTTCAAGTCTTTCTTTTTTGGTCTTTTACACAGTAAAATGACGATTTTGGCCCTCGAGGTGCCATGTTTCACATGTGTTGGTATCCTATGTATTTTTTTTTTCATTCAGACTCCTTCCTCGATTCCAGCGTTTTTTTCTTACCTAATTCACACCTGGCAGCAATGATGCATGCCTTTCCACTAAAAAATCATTAAAAAAACAAAAATCTGGAACATGCCAAAAAAAAAAAGAATAGAAAAAGGGAAAAAGAAAGAGAGAGAAACAAAAGATGAGCATGGGTTATGAGAGAGGGCGCCTGTCACCAGAAGGCTAACTTTTCAATTAATTCCCTTTGTGTCCTTTTTACTATTCATTCACCAGTATTTTTCCAATTTTGCCCTTCAATTGCTCTTCAAGTCTTGCTGTTTTGGTCTTTTACACAGTAAAATGACGATTTTGGCCCTCGAGGTGCCGTGTTTCACATGTGTTGGTATCCTGTGTATCTTTTTTTTCATTCAGACTCCCTTCTCGATTCCAGCGTTTTTTTTCTTACCTAATTCACACCTGGCAGCAATGATGCATGCCTTTCCACTAAAAAATCATTAAAAAAAAAAAATCTGGAACATGCCAAAAAAAAACAAGAATAGAAAAAGGGAAAAAGAAAGAGAGAGAAACAAAAGATGAGCATGGATTATGAGAGAAGGCGTCTGTCACCAGAAAAAAATAATTAAAAAACACAATATCATGCATCTGCAACAGTTCCCCATCACTGTTCATCACGTCTTTCCTTTCTTCCGCACATCGTTTCTCGCAATCCCTCCAATTTTTGCCCACGCGTACCTGTGCTCTTTCTTATTACTTTGCTGTCAAACGAAGAGCAAAATGGGACGCGTGGGTCACGCTGCTTCTTCCCTCTTTCTCTTCGACTCGGTGTTCATCCATTCCACCGCTTCAACTGGTTGCAGGCTCCATCAAACCCTATAATCGTTTTGCTTTTTTGGGCACCCTCCTTTTTCTCCCTGCTCCTTGCTTTCTCCAACCTAGAATCCTCCTCCTTTCCCTGAAAGACAAATTATATTATATTATATATTTTATATATACTAAAAGCCGGTGGATTGGCACTGTTCATTAATAGTGCCCACCCGATTTTGTCCTTCGCTTGCCGAGCAATTTTTTGCCCTTTTTTGGAATTGTGCAGTGAGTTGGCCATTTTACCCTTTCCCCTTTCTAGTGCCGTTGCAGTGTGCTTTTTTCCATTTCGCATAGTGATTCATCGGGTTTGCCCATTCTATCCACTTATCCATCATTTGTGGGTCTTTGTAATTTTTTATATTTTTTTGGTGCCACAAACCATGTGCCGGGTTTAACTCCTGACAATTTTACTGTGTATTAACAGTAATATGTTAGATAATAAATGAGAAGACCCATTCTTGAAAAGACGAAGGACAGGATACCACAAAAGACAGATGCCACAGTTACGTAAAATGATAAAGATATCGGTTAGAGAGAAAAAAAATTGATTAAAAAATATGAAAAACTGGTTTGGTGTGTTTGGCTTTTGTTTTCTAATATTTTTTTTAGCATACTAAGAAAATTGATGGACAACTGTTCCCTTCCATTTAAGAAAAAGACAGAAATCAGGGATGCCATTGCAGTTGCGTGGTGGTAGTAACGAAGGCTCATTCCTCAAAAAAGGGCTAATAAATGCAAAGTCACAGAAATATATATATATATAAGAAAAGATAGTTTAATATGAAAGTGTGAGGCTAATAAATGCAAAGTCGCAGAAATATATATATATATATATATATATATATATATATATATATATATATATATATATATATATATATATATATATATATAAGAAAAGATAGTCTAATCTGAAAATGTGAGGTCATGATGTGAAGTGAAAGGAAAAAAAAAAATTATATATATATATACTGCGCGGGCAGACACGTGTTAATCATCTCTTGCATTTGGCTTTTCAGCTCTTCTTTTCTAATTTTTTTTTGTTTCCCTGCACGTTTGCTCTCTCATTTGTCCTTGTCCCCAGCGCATATCTCATTCCTCTGTCTCTGGTCTTTTTTTTTTTTTTTTTTTTTTTTTTTGGGGGTTTTGTTCTGCTTTTTCAGTAGATGATGTCCACGTGTTGATCATCAGCAGTATTTATGTTCAGAGGATTTTTACTCTTTTTGTTTCGTTTTCACTCCTTTCTTTGTTTACTTTTCCCTTTCGTTTTTCTGCTTCTCTCTCGCCTCTTTTTGTTTCGTTTTCAGTTTTCTGTCTTCATCTTCTTATCCTTGCTCCAGCGCTTCGCACACCGCCTTCTTGGCGTTTCAAGTCTTGCTGTTTTCTGGTTAGTTGTGTCTTTTTTGTTGCCTTATTTTTTTGTTAATTTTGTATTTATAGTTACATCTTTTGTTTAAATTTGGGCTTAGTTGATTTTGAAGGTTTCCAATTGGTTGCCCTTTTTTGTTTTTAATTTTTTTTTTAGAGTTAGGTCTTTTGTTTGAATTTGGGTTTACCGATTTTGAAGGTTTAGAGCTAACTATTTCCTTTCAATTTTTTATGGGGGTGAGACTTATAGAATAGTAGGGTTTTTCTTTCTGTGTTGGGATTCTAAGTATGACTCTGTCGTTTTCTGTGTTGACATTCTAAGTATGACTGTGTCGTTTGATTCTCATTTTATTTTTAGCAAACACAAAATGGCAAGCTCTTGAAGCCAATGAAACCTCTATTCACCCTTCGTGCAGATACCTTTGACTTAGAAGCATGCAGTTTCCCTCTCAAAATCTTTATACATATTATGCACAATCACGTTATACGTACTGATACATACGAGTAAATCAGGTTGCACCAACACTTAGCTACATAGTATTACATGACAAGATTATTAAAATTAATTCCCACCAACCATATGTATGCAGAACGAATTCTTTGAATTTATAAGGTCATTATTTGCAAACTGATGCACTCAACCAGTGTCGGACTGTCTTTCCTGTGTGCTGGGAAGATTTTCTAGACATAAATGACTAGATTAAAACCAATTCTTGACTGATTCGTCTTAGGAATCTGTTCAGGTGTAGGTTTTAGATCTTTTTTTTTTAATTGAATTCTAACTTTATAGGTTCTCTATTCTAATTGTTATTACTTTTTGGTTATTAATTAAGCTGTTAAATTTTTCCTCCCAAACATGGATGGACAAATAACAAATGATTTCAGTTTTCTTTTCAGTGTTTTTTTTTATGCTTTTGGATAAATTTGTGGCATATTATGTAAATTTCATTGTTGCAGGATAAATGGAAAAGGCACAGCCAACTCCTATTCATCAGTTAAAATCATACACCAAAGCAAAAAAAATCAAAATCCGGTTATGCAGGATATGGAAATCGATAATCCCAGGCACTGTTCAAAAATATACAGCTTTGAACTGTATATTAGTTGATGAAATGGTGAGATTATTGATTCATTATTTTAATCAAAGACGGTAATACTAATAATTAACTAGCCAGAAAATATTTTTCTACCCCTATTTTTTAGATGTTGGGGAATAAAATTTAAGTATGCCGTGTTACACAAAATGAACAGATCAGTGTTTTCTTACCTTTTTTTATGAATTTTTTATTTTCTTACCTTTTTTTCATGGTGTTACATTTTTTTTTTCTTAAATTTTTTGGCATTCATACATTTCTTTTCAAGTGTTGATTAAAATAATTTAACTATTTTCGATAATTCTTTTTCCTCATGCTAACAATTTGATAAGTGTGTTGTTCTTTGTGTTATTGATAGTATAATCTATTTTTTTATTTATTTTTTAATTACTTTTGTAACTTTTTTTCCTTCTCTGTCTTGGCATGATAAATTGTGAAGCAAGATGCCGTTGAGGCGACCACATTAAATGTTGAGTATGATGTTATGGTTGCGAAGATTGAAGCTGGTGGATGCTATGAAATCATTGATTTCCATACCAGTAAAATCAAGGGACAATACAAAGTAGTCCCGCATGAAACTCAAGTTTTGTTTAATGCGGAAACAAAATTTAAAAAATTGGCCAGTGTGTTTCCACCCATCCCTCGCCATCGGTTCTTTCTACAAGATTGCAACACACTTTACCCTCGCTTGGACAAGGTTGACATCCTTACATGTACTGTTAACATGTCTATGCATATAAATCCATTCAAACGCGTTGGTATTTATTTTCTAAAGTAGTATTTAACAATGTGCTTATATTTATGTTTTAAATTATAAGATGTTATCGGTTGTATAAGAGTCGTACAGTCCTTGGAAGAAAAACAGATTAATCAGAGGGTTGCATACAAATGTGATGTGCACATTCAGAATATAAGGTCATTTTTCACCTTTTATTGTTATTAGCCTAAATTGTCTTCAGTCTTTGTTCCTTTGCTGTTGTAAAAATTTAAATTTTTACTTGCGAGTTTTTTTATCCACAGAAAAGAAGAACTCACGGTTACGTTATGGGCAGACATTGGTGAAGCTTTTTCTTTTTTGTCAACAGAGGCATTTTCGCTGCCAGTCGTGGTTGTTTTCACAAGTTTAAAAGTCAGGCGCTACCTAGGTATTTCATTTAATTTAAAATTAATCTTTTGCATCCTTATTTTGTTCTCTGTCCATACTAAGTCATCTAAATTTTTTTGGTGTTTAACCATTGTTGGATTTTATTATATTTATTTGTTACAATTAGTCATTCTATGTTGCCACCCTTTCTAACGAGTCAATTTGCAGCTATCTGAATATATTGGTGCTCAATGATTGTTGTTTGTCATACTTCTACTTATTTTCTGCTTTCTCCAGTTTTATATATTTAGTTGATTAAGCTATTGATAGTCTCGACTGACAATTACAAAATAACTAAAACTATATTCTCAATCGAACACTCACTTAGGAATCCACTGTATGTCCCAATTAATTCTGTTATCAGTTTATTAAAATTTTCACAAAAAAACATCATCTGTATGCCATGCGTACCTTTTTTTTTTTAATTACTTTTTGTGATACAATGATGCAACTATTAAAACAAATTTTAAACTGTATCCGTCATGATTTGTGTTTCATCACCTTTTTTCTGCCATGATTTCAATGCGCAGGCAAGATTGTCTTAAACAGTACCAATTCATCACTTTTTTTCATTGATCCAGACATCCCGGAAGTGAATTCCTACAAGTCAGTATAAGTATATTTCTAATTTTTGGAACAAAATAACGATATATCTATTATTCTTGAATGAAAACAGATGCTATTTCTATATTGTTCAAACAATGTGATCTTTTCAATCATGCAGGTTTTCCAACTGCAAAGAATTTCCAAAAATATTGCCTTCATCTTCAGACCAGGCAAATGAAGCTAAACTTCTATAGACTGCGAAAAAAGTTACAATTGATGAATTGGCTTTCTTGGATCCAGATTTGTACAAGGTTTAAAACTTGATTATCCCTTTTAATGTTCCCTTAAAATTTTTCAATCGTGATTTCACACATTCAATGAAAAGAATGCATATGATTGTTGTCAGTTTCACACATATATGACAAAATATATTACAGGATGAGACATTTCTATGTAAAGCAGCTATGAAGCATTTTGACACACGTTACGATTGGTGGTATAGTGCCTGCCCCATTTGTGTTAAACAAATGCATAAGGACCCAACAACTGCACATCTAATTTGTCAAAAACACCCAAATCAAATTCCAACACCTTGGTAATATTTAACATGTTGTGCTGCAATTTTGTTACTATGTATACCATGAGTTGAATTTTTTTTACTTTGCGCTTTTCAGTTTAGAATCAATTAATTTTTCGCTCTGTCAATGGTATGTAATTTTTCAATCTCACTATTGATATTTTTTTAAACACCTAAATTTCTCATGGTTGTTTTTGTTTTGGATATTTCATTGTGATCTTACATTGGGTTTTTAAATGTAGGTATAAGGTCAATCTGATACTCGAAGATGAAACCAATGAGATTGATGCTTTGATAATTGGAAAATGTGGTGAAAAACTTTTTGGCATGAGCTGCAAAGATTTGGTTCTGAATCAGACATTGGTGGACCATCATCAATTACCAAATGAATTTCTTAGACTAATCGGGCAAAAGAAAATTTTCCATCTGCGGTTTGGAAATAGAAGAAATAATTTCAATCCAAGCAATGTCCTCATTCACAATGTAATCGACGATACAACCATGCAACCAGCAACTCCACTGCCTTTGCCAAGAGAAATCACAGGGTCTTCCACGACGGTTTCGTCTTCTAATTCAAGTGCTGAAACTACTGCACAATCGAATAAAAGGAAGAGGGAATCAATCAAGAGGACTCTTTTCACCAACAATGAGCAAAGGTTTGTTTCGTAACTTCCTTTCAAAACATAATTTTGGAATTATTTTTCATTCATTTTATTTAACACTGGTAGCCCATTTAAAACAGAGAAATGGAAGAAGTTTCAGAGGCGGATCCAAGGGAGTTTGATGAAGTTCCAATAAAGTTGCTCAAAAAGAAATCGTCACCAACTAGCGGAAAACTTGGTACCACTCCTGAAAAAACCAACTAGGTTGCTATATTTTAAACATGGCTTCTTTTTTTGCTCTACATTTATTTTGATATATATTTAATATCCATCTAACTGTATTATTTTCCTTCTTTTCCCTAGCTTGCTTGCTTAAGGATGAACGATGCAGTGCCAAAACTCATCTCTGATACTGAAACGCAGTAACCGTTTTTTGTTAATATGTATCAAACAATATTGATAATATTTGGCTGCCATGTAAATGTCTCTCTGGTCTGGACTTCATAATATTTTTTGCATGTACAATATTTGGCTGCCATGTAAATGTCTCTCTGGTCTGGACTTCATAATATTTTTTGTATGTACATGCTGGTTCCACTTGAGAGGTAGATGCAAGTGGTAGAATCCAATCAGTCACTTTATGTTTTTTTTTTTTTGTCTATCTGTAAAGAAATAGGTTTTAATCTTTTGTATCTGGATTGTACAAATTTAATATTTTATATATAAACCGCTTCCAACATCTTTGTTTACGGCGATGTAAATATTCTGTGATCTACTTTTTACATGTCTTCAACAGTGTTGCACAGAATTTCCACAACTACACTCATTCTGAACTCAATTTGGAGCAACATTCGGTAAGCCTTTCTTTTACAGTTAGTTTCATTTGTTTATATTTGAATCAACACCTTTTTAACAAATAATGATTCTTCCAACTGCTCATAAATTGATTCTTTTTTTTTTTTTTTTTTTGCAACTTCGACCGTTCATCTATTGAAAATATCATACTTCAATCAGCGATGTGGACTTTTCTCAACATATGACCATCAAATCTTGGTATGTCTTTCATCATATTTGCTCCTTTACAATTCATAGAACTGTTATGTTTCTTTATATCCAATCCTTGCCAATAAACTAATTCTTTGTTCAAAACTTGAACCATAAATGTAATAGGCTAAAATTGTTGTAACCATTTCTCTCTATACAATTCATAGAATTGTTATGTTTTTTTTCTGTGTTTCACCACTAAGATTCAAATTCGTATATTTCGGTGAGAAACAAACTTTTATCTATTTCTTGAGTTAGGCAGAGTTGTAAAAATAACTTTTTACATGCTATATGATATTTAAAAACCCGCAGCATCGCGTGGGCACCATTGCTAGTGGAATTGATTTGAGAACTGATGATGTGTGTATGAAAAGGGATGGTGGGTAATGGGGATCGCGTACAAGGGCAGCGGCATGTCGAGTGTATGACAACATGGCTTGCGCCCAACGCTTTTACGCTTTGGGTTTGTCGCCCATAATATTTGGGCTAAAATAAAGCATCGAAGTTGTCCAAAAATAAAAATGGAGGATACTAATTAAAAGGATTTGAAAATTTTGATTTTTAATGATAAGGATAAAATAAAGGGTAAAATGAATAGTATCATGATTGATTTTTTAGTGTAAAAATATGATTTTTTGTTAAAATGAACAGTACCGTATATTTTTTGTTAAAACTCCCTACAAATAAAGCATCGAAGTTCTCCAAAACAAAAATAAAGCATCAAATCTCATGACACTCATATTTGTGGTTCGATGGTTAATTCCAATAAAAAAATGTAAAAGATAATTAATATGACAACTTTTTATAAGTTGTGTCATTTTACGAGAGTGCACATGATAGAAAAAATTTCAACGTTAATATTTGTCTTAGTATTAGTTGCTCAAATTTTTATCCAAGAAATGAATATGGGCCCAACAATTGTTACTTGTAAGGATGAGATGGCCCATACAATCATAATCATAACACATTGATTCTATGAATAAATCTTAATTAACATATGGTGATAGTAAGTTATAATATGGTGACGTTGTACAAGTACAAGATTATTAATTAAAGATAGTGTTATACGCATCTTATTTTTACTTCCCACATATTTTTTGTTAATTTATATATAGATAACATCACCATTAATTAACCTCAACATCAATAGTTAAAAGCAAGATTTTCTTAAACAACGGATGAAGCACGTCCACATCCACATTCATCTCATAATTCCCTACACAAGATTTCCTTAAACAAAATCTGTACTTTCGTATCTATTCCTATGCATGATCAATCATGTGTAGATATTAAATGCGCACACAGAATATGCAGAGATCAACACATTCATTTCTTGTTGCTTTTTTTCGAAACCAATATGGACTCTAGTTATTTTGAGGCTTGGTAAGTCAAATTTTCAACCATCGTTGTACTTTTCCAGATTGTCTAGATTTTATCCATGTTGAGTGCTGTCGTTTTTGAAGTTTATATTCATCTGTGTTTGAATTGGCTATCCTTTCCGGTTAGGGGTCTAGGCATGAGATGGCTAAGTTATGCTTGATGTTCATTTCTCGATTTGATCTGATTTATTACCATATGTAAGTTGACATCATTTTACTAGTCTCCTCAGAGTGGGAAATCTTGTTTAGGCGAAGTCATTTACCGTTGCATAGCTGCTGATCGGTTGTCCCCAGAACGCCTTCTTGATTACTTCGATCACTTATCGGAATACACCACTCTGGAAATAGCAAACAGGATTGAGGCTGCTGTGCACATTTGGAAGCATAAGCACGCAAAACCCCGTCTAACTCATGTAAATTCTGCAAAGTCATCCTGGGGTGCAAATTTCAAAGGCTTTGTCAATTACATAGAAAAGAGTAAGCTTCTCGCGTAAAGGGCAGATACCCTCTTACAGAATCTGAAAATACGGTTCCCTGGCCTCCCACATACCTCTCTGGACATGAACAACATTCAGCACAACAAGGTATGCGCCTAACAAATTTTATCATCTTTGCTCGAATACAAGTGAGCACATTTTCTCTTCAGTCACAAGCATGAAAAATTGGAAGATTACTAATTCAATGTTATGCATGAGGAGTCTTAGTTTGAAAAAAAAAAATGTATGTTGTTGTCTTGTATTGTTGTTCTCTAGTTGGAAAATTATGCTGTGAATTTTATGTTCTAATCAGAAGAACTTAATTTCCCGCGTGCTGCAGGATGTGGGGCAATCGATCATTGAGAGCTACTCTAGGGTGATGGAAAGCATAGCCTTTAACATAATGGCAAGGATAGATGATCTACTATATGTAGATGGTAGCACCAAACAGCAGGCAGCTGCGGAATCTATGTCTCTGTATGACCAGGGAAGGATTGGTGGCACATTGCCAAAACAGAAGCGGATATCACCCAGTCCCTTTCTCAATTCATCGTGCCTCTTCCATTAAATTATCAGCATTGGATCCTCTTGTGAATCAGATAGGTAAAAGCCCCGGTGGAAGGACATATTATAAACCAACAAAGAAGGATGACAAGTTAGAAAAGTTAACCTTTTGATGAAGTTGAAATGGTAAGCTGAACAGCTTCTCTGTCATATGTAGCCAATAAGGTTAGTATATGATATGCCGTGTTTTATTGCTCTATGATCCAGTAACATAGCCAAAGAATCCAATGCTTAACTAATTAATGCAATCACGATGACCGAGAAATGCCATGTCCAAGTGATACCGTACAATCTGCTTCAAAACTTGTTTAACTTTATACAAATGCACAGACAAACAAAACTTAATTATTTAGTCCAAAATAGAAAAAAGAAAATACACACACACACACACACACACACACGTTGCCAAAGAGAGTCGATGTCTTCGAATGAAGAAACAACCCGTCAAAGAACCTGATTTTTTTCTGCACAAATTATTATGTGTTCAGGCAGGTCCAAATCTATAATATGAAGCCCAAACAAGCCCATTTGCGTTTTTTTGTACTTGGGCTAATGGGCTCATTTGTATTCTTCATATGATGTTAGATTTTTAATTTAAAATCCCTTTAATAACTTATTTCTTTTTGGATAATGTTTGTGTCCATTGTCAAGGGAACATCATAATCGAAACTGTTAATTCTCTTTATGATCAACTAAAAATTATATCTATAAAAATCAATCAATTTGGAGATCGTTTAATCATCTATGTGTGTTACATTAATCAACGGTTTTGGTAGCAAATGACATCATCATGATGAATCTTCCGTTTGTTTTATGCATATGAATAGCTAAAAGATCTCCAAAATTGAATATTGAATGATTCCGATTATGATGATTGGACGGTAAAGATTTGTTAGTCGTTTTTTAGTTTTCATTTGTGCGCTAAAGAATAGAGATAGAGGAAAAGTTCATGAGAAAAATAAAGAATGGACAAGGATGAAGGAAGGGTTAGGACCGTAGGAGGAATGAGGATGAGGGGAAACTGGAGAAGTGAAGTAGATAATATCAAAATAATTAAAACTTCAAATTTTTTCATCTTTTGATTATGTTCATTTTGTGTTGATTCATGTACATTCATTTTATCTCCATTCCACCATTCTTCTTTGACCCTTTTCATTTTCCTTTAAACCCGTATACTTTTTTTATAGACTATAAATATGATACAAAAAATAAAATTTAAAAACTAAAATTGAATAGTTATCAAATTATTCCCCAATTAATATATACATTTTACACGATAATAAAATATACAATCTAAAAAGGAGAAATTAGGTTCTCATCCCTCTTTTTGCTACTCTATTGATTAAAACCATATTCTTTTTCAATTTTTGATCAAGATCCTTGAGTATTAATAACATCATTAATTATTTCAATAATAAAATATTTTTTTTTATTTTTAAATATATTTCCTTAGTGTTAAAAATGTTACAATTAATATATTTTGTTGTAGGCATAATTTATTGAACAATTATGGAGGTTATAGAGAGAGAGAAAGGTGCAGCAATAGTAGAGAGAAGAGAGATGTGTAATTGTGGGTGTGTGTTATTCCACCTCATTGTGCATTTATTTATAATGGTAGGGAAGGTTAATTCCTTACCTTTTAGGATTACAACATTTAATAGGTAATCTACTTCTAATAGGAATATAAGATACATTCCCATATCTACTAGGATTTACACAATCACATTCCTATTCCAATAGGACTGCAACACTCCCACCTGAGTGCGTAAATACTCAAGTAAATGGTGCATCAGGTCTTCAGTGATGAAGCAAGTACTGTTGATGAAGTCGTCGACACAATGAGCAAATGCGAGTCTCAAATCAACAGAAGAATGCATAAAAAATAAAACTCACAAAACCTCGTTATGGTAAAACCCAAGGTGGGAGAAAACCTATAGACTAAGGAGAAAAGTGAGAAGTTGCATTAAGTCAAAACTATATGCCTTTTGAACGCAAGTAGAATATCTCGTGAGGGTATGATCAGCCCATGATGGGTGCCTCGTTAAAACCTAGTTAGGTAGCAAAAATCCAATGGGAAAAATGCTCATAATCGTAGGGAAAAAAAGTACATTAAGTTCAAGTGAGTATACTTCTGGATACTCCCTCTGAGTTTGACATAACTCCCAAATGAGAACTACAAGCATTGCATATGAATAGTTCGGCATACCAATTCCTCGGACAAGTTTCTGGAAGGTTGACTTCGGCAATAATGTCGTGTAAAGGTCGGCAAGGTTGTCTGGGATCGGCTTGCATGACTTCAATCTCCTTATGCTTTCCTGATATGGATGTGGACGCAATGTGTCTTGGCGTTGACTTCATTGATGTATCATGTCTTTGTCGGGTTGATACATGCAGTATAGTCTTCATGGATCATCGTTGGGACTCAACGATGGATGAAAACACAGCAAGTACTTCAAATATGCTCAACAAGAACTCCTAACCATGTCTCACTTATGGCATAGTGAAGTGAGGTGAATCTTGGAATGATTCGAAGATTTCGCAACTAAGGTCATATCGTGGACCTCTAAGATATTGCGATATCCTTAACGGTAAAGACATAACTATTCGGTGATTTTGCCTTGTGCGGGTTTGATAAGTAACCAGCGTTAGCATAACAAACAAGGAAAGCATTTTTCTGAGGATCAAGGCATTAGATCCGCTCGAGATGCATTGGGATTTGCCCTTGTGGTACCTTTAGGGTACGTCTTTAATACCAATTCAGTGGTTGCGTGTAGGCGCTGTGCTGCATCTTTTACCAAGATCAACAGCGAAGGAGATGTCCTGTCTAAATACAATGAGCTAAGTACAACGAAGCGCAAAGTTAAACTCAGATTTGGAGTTTCAGATTCCATAACCTCTTAAAAGGTTTCATTTGCATATAACGTATAGACGATCAAATGTATACTCAAAGGTAACACATTCGAGGTGTACTTCGACTGGTAGACTAAAATACTGTCAGAAAAATGCTTTATCTTCAGTTTAAGGCATAAACGAGTTTTCCCAAGATCCTTTATCTCAAATTCCATCTTCAGGTACGAGGCAGTTTTCTTAAGTTCTTCTGGAGTCTTAGTGAGATTCGTGTCAACGACATAAACTGTAACTCTAGCAATTTGAAATAAGACTTCATAGTTTGACATGCAAAGGCATAATTCATATCCCTGACTGATCAAATAATCACTTAGATGGGTATACCATATCCGTCGAATTGTAAGTGAACACCTCAAACAAGTTAAGAAGGTGTTCCATGGCTTTAGAACTATTTGAAACTGTCCCTGTAATTCTTTGAGTATCTATATCCCCATGGAGAAAACACTAACCACATTTCATAATGCTGTTATCAATCACATGACGTTTGAGAGAAACCTTGCGTCGTAAGGAGTGTATCATGTCGCACTATTTCATTTATCTCATAACGCTTCCCACTTGTAACACAACAGGGTTACCTTGGGCAGTGTAGGACGACAGGTCCAATACACATTTTGGTAAGGAATTTGACCTGGATTGTAACTTTAGTTGTCCAATCAGTTCTACGTTGTCACTTAATCAACAGAACACAGTTCGATATCGTCGCTTTTCATTTATGTCGGTAACTACCATATAAGTGAAAACATCATCGATGATAATCTCATTTCAATTCCATTTAGCTCATTCAAAGTAGTATACTGGACCAAGAACTTTAAGTCTCGAGAGAAATCCGAATTAATCTCATGAGATTGAAATGATTTGAGATAGCGATCGAGTTTAGATTCATTTTATGTCGTGCCTTCCTCTTCTAGGGAAATGAATCCTACAAACAGAGTGATCTGTCGTGCTCCAGACTAAGACAGATTGATTGGCTATCCGTCGGTGTACTAGACTGCCCAATAGGGGCATCTGAACCGTCCAATAGGGGCGTCCAAACCATCCAACAAGGGCAACACACCCTCCAGGGATGTTGACTTGACGTCCGTTAAGTACGTCTATCCTTGCAGGTATGTTTGCAGCTGGTATCTGATCTCGTCACTTTAGCTAGATTAGAGGAATGCGTCTGGAGCAACGTTCTGAAAACTAGAATTCATCGCACTTACTTGTCACACTTGTACGGTATGGGGATCGAGATAAGACATAGTGGGTAACGTCCACGCAACTTCGCGCCGTTCTACAAGAACGTTGACGTTCTTATCTTCCCCTAACGGCGAGAAGACTGTTTCGTTAAAGTGACAACCCGCATATGAGTGGTAAAGAGGTTGCATACAAGGGTTCTAAGAGAGCTAGTGTAAAGGAGAATCATGATCGACAAAAGATACACATCATTCTTTGAGGATCTATGGTAGTATGTTGCAGCGGCGTAATTGGCACATGGAATACATACCCAAATGCATAAATACGAAAATCGTCAGGTTCGTACCCAGTAACCAACTATAACGTTATATAGGTTGGGTGGCAATAGGCCTCAAGGCGAACCAACATAGCTGTGTACAAGATTGCATAGCCCTAGGCAAAAATTGAAAACTTGATACGTTTACCAAAATTCGGGTGATCATTTAAATTGCGCTTTATGATCGTTAGGCGAGGTTAGTTGGGGTGAACATAGGAATTCGATGTTCAAATTATAAACCCAAAACACATGCAACACTTTATCGAAAACCGTCAATATAAAATCTTCGGCATTATCTAGTCTCCTAGACCTTAAAAGATAAGTAGAGTGGTGAGCCCTTAATCGGCCATAAGGTTTAGCAGCAATGTGTGTGGACAAACATATAACCAGTTTGTTGATGCATCAACCAAAGCTATAAGTATTTATATGGTCCGCATTTTGGTTGGATTAGTCCATATATATTCCCTTGAATCCACTGTGAAAAGAGAGTCATGTCGTATCTTTGCGAGTAAAGATATAGAAAATCAATTTCCCTGATGAGCATGCTTGGCAAAGTGTGTTTGTAAGCACAATATCCTTACTTCAGAGAAGGAGATGCGTTGTAGTATCATTGTTCGACCTAAGTGTCCTAAAAGGTCGTGCCAAAGCAAGTAAACTGCTCAACCACTAAGCTCCAGGCCAGCCACATATAGTGTATTCTCAGTTGGGAGACAACCCATCGGCCCCAAATCAAGGCTTCAGGTTCATTCTTGGAGGTGATGCAAAGATATTTCACTCTATTTTCTTCAGTGGTTTCATTTATG